AAGTTCTAGACGTTATTTGTATCCGAATCCATCAGCAAGTTTCCGAAAACATACTAGCTGATTCATTGCATCGATGCTTCCCCCCTAAACACAAAAAATCGCCTTTTCCTGAAGAATCATCACTTCTTCAAACAAAAAGATGACGTTATCATTTCCGCACATCTCCATCACTCATCGTGTCATCAGTTTTTCGTTTGCAACGAGAGGTGACCGTCTAGTTTCGGTTCTCTTTGTTATACTGGTTTCCAAACCGGTAAGGTAAAACGTTGTGTGTTCTCTGAAAAGTCTTAAAAGGTCTTGTACATAGGAATTGCTCTATCATTTCAGTTCTAAAGTGAGTTGTCTGTTAAAAGTGCATTAAATTTGAATGGAACGACGCACTTCCTCAAATTTATATTCACTTTTTTGTAAAGAAACACTTTTCTTATGGCTTTTCCAAGTAATTTCTGAGTGTAAAGGGTATAATCGCGAAATAACGAAATTATTTAGGATCTTTCCACTTTGAAAATTTTTTTCATCGTGTGGAAATCTCAAATAGTGGGAACTATCGCTTTACGAGAACTTTATTTTGATTCTTGCATTTCCGCTTTCGCATCCTCTTTTTTCCCTCTCACTGCTGAGCGATTTTCTTTTTGTTTATCACCGATATTTGATATGTATAACGCAGGTGAATAACTAGATAATATTGCTAGAGCTCAATAGGTCCTATTTTCTTTTTCTGGGACAAAATTGCTTTTGCAACCTATCTGCAACAATTTTCTGTAAGTGACGGGCAATTTTCTATATCCATGACAAGATTAGAAAAAAAGTTAGTAGACTTGACTTGTGCAACTGACTATTAAGTTCCGAAGTGTTGCTGTTGTCCCACTTTTCTGATTTTGCCAAATTTTCTATAAACGTTAGAGCTTGTACATAGATGACTAGGTTATGCCTATTAAATGTTTTCTTTTGTTATAAAAGCAGAATCTTACTTTTTTAGTGCGTCAAATTTTCTGCGAACCTAGCTGATTTTGGAAAAAATTTTATACATAAAATATTCGCTTAGTCCAAACATTTGGTTTTTGATGATCTTGTGGTTTCATTTTCGATTGAAAATATACTTGCAAATACTAGAAACCTATGGAAAAATTATCTAAAGCAAACAGTTTATGGACTGGATCCTCGAAATTTCTGCTTTCAGCAAAGTCCGAGGATTTTTAACGCTGACTTGTTTGTTTTTCTTTCAAAAAATGCACAAATGAGGTGCATAGTACATGTGGAAAGCTTTTCCATTAGCAGATGCGTTAAAAGATTGCTTTTCCTTTCACGGAGCTCTCTATTCTCGCCTACTCTTTGGCTGTTTGTTTAGCTTGCGGGAGCTCGGATAGAATATGAGAATAACATGTTGCTCCATCCGAAAGTCAGTACCGGAATCTCACTGCTCAAACCGAACTACACACTTTTCATCTCATATCTCCTATGATGTTATCATATCATCTACTTTCCTACTGTCTATACACAGTCGTACGTAGCGCATAGCGAAAAGAATCTAGATTTTTAGAAATTACGAGAAATCAAAGGCTTGGATAGTAGCAAAATTTTGGCGCTGACGATGGAAACCTAGCACGAACGTAGATTATTAAGATTTTTCAAGTAATGAAATTGGAATGAGAACTTTTCTGAAGAGTATGACTATACAAGTAAAGATATTTAGAATATTTTTCTGAAACACTAAACATCATCACTCCGTTCCGTTCCTTCCCTTAGACGGAGTTTAAAATGAGTCCAGGTTTCCCAGGAAATCCTCAGCAAGTAAGGTAGACCTAGAATCATGTTTACTTATTTGTTATTTTTGTAAGTTTATACTTAGTGATGTTAGTGAACTTTTTATTATTACTGTTGTAAAAATGTAGAGATAAATCGTGGAGTACTATTACAGCTATTTGAAAATACTTTGACATCTAATAGGAGTAGGATATGTACATTGTAGACTCATTCATTTCTCAGAAAAATTGTATGTTGAATGTATTTCAAATTCTTATCACTTCATGTTAGAAATCCGCGAAACATTATAGTCGTGCAAAGTGTTTTCTCATTATATAGAATCGAATAAAGTTAATGTAATAATGACTCTCGATTTGGTTTGTGGCTTGAGTGACTGTTTCGGAAATTTGGCTTTATTGGGGCATATCTGTCCTTTACTGATAGTAGAAATTCGATGTAGTTAATATGCAATAGTAGACATTTAAAATTCCTCCTTTCAAAAAATTGTAGAAATAACAACAACAAATTTTTTATGAAGTTTTACATGAAAAACGAGCTTATTTTCACCACCTAATACAACCACGTAGATTTTCAACAGAATTCTTCATATTTTTTCTAACAAAATTTCGCAGATGTGGAAAAAAGTTTTCAAACAGTGTTAAATGCATTTCTTAATATAAACTAGCATAAACCTTACTCTTTGATCTGTATGGCCAAAGTTGCCAGCAATTATGGTTCCTCTCATTCGTCATTTTGAGGATACCTCAGTTCCCACATTTACTTTGTCCCATCGTGGGAATCGTATAATTTTGAAGTCATACAATGATTCTTTCGGAGACATACATATGTGAGAAAATGGTAAACTTCATTTGCTTCTGTGTACCTTCATTCAATCTACTACTCTCTCTACTTTCGCAAAAATGAGAAAATTGTTGTGCTCGCCATAATACTTATAGCTTTCCACCTTTTTCTGAATTTTTTCTGTGACTTACTATGAAATTAATCGCATAAATTTCTTCTACCGAATTATTACTGAATCTCTACTTTTTCCACTTAAACGAATGTGAAAAATTCCAGTTATGAAATAGTCATAATGACACTCGAAGCACGAATGCTTTTTCTATAATACTTTGCACGCAACAAAGATGGTTTTTGCACAGAAGCTGCAATTATGAAATTCTTACGGAAACTGCTTGAGAATGGAGCTACGTATGTATAGAAGCCAAAATTCGAGTCACTATGAATTCTCTGTTTTTATCAATTGGTGACGAAGACGAGCTTCAGTTACATATATGAAGATTTCTTTTGTTTTTTTTTGGGAATGATTTGTAAAGTAATTATTCCATTGCAGGAGCCTTTTTATTAGAATTTCTGCCAAGTAAAACTTTGACAGTCAGCCACTGACTAATCTGCAGTTTTCTAGAAGATTGTTCAATTCACAGTAGTTGCGCAGTCTATGAACCATTAATTTCTTTCCAGATGCTATTTGAGTTTTTCCAATATTCGTTTCCTTCCTTTCCTTTTCTTCCAGGTCGCATTTATTTGCGATTTGCAGACGCATATATTTTCCTATGAGAATAGAAGGACAAAACCTAATTTCCTTTGGAGAGATTCATTACATACAATGGCCATCTTCTTAGTTCACATCGTTTTTCCAAACATTCTTTTCCTTCTTTGAAGAAAAAAAATAGGAGCTACTTCTTACCAACTCTTCGATCTACATGTATCCGACATAAAATTTTATGGAAGCAATTGGATCAAACCATCCATTGCTGTGTATCCAGCTGTTTGCAGCATTGCTCATGGATATACGCGTAAACAATCAAAGCAAATTAGGGAAAATCATGGATAGCATCGACTTCCTCTCAACTTGCCACCGTAGAGAGCGCAGTGCATGTTATTGAGATTAGAGTTTTGCTCCTTATCGTTAGAAGCAGGGCTCGGCACAAGGTGGCTTTCCGAAAATGCAAAAAAAAGAACGAAGCTAACCTTTCCTTTTCCAAAATTTTACGAAGTCTTGACCTTAAACCATAAACGTAAAAATCCGAAAAATGAATTGTCGACTAAAAAACCATTGCCTACGTTGTGTTTTTTCGGCCACAAAAATATATCCTTTGCTTTTTGTCCCAAAAAACGATGTCCAGCTTGCTTAAAAGCCACCTGTGCCGTGCCCTGGTTAGAGCAAAGCTAGAGTAAAAGTAAATATGCCTTGTTGAAACTGCATAGAAAAATTTCATGAACCTTTTTATCACATTGCAAAGATGATCTAAAGAAATAATCCGCTTTTTCAATTAAATGAAAGAAAGTATTAGCGCCGAGATTCTGAAGTATTACACTATTAGTTGGCATTTTGAGTTTAGTTGGCAAGTGTCGAATCAAAATGATAGCTAGAGAATATATTGTCAGCTTTCAACTCTATTTTTTGCGCTATTCACTTTCTTTTCTCATTGCAATGTCAGAAAAAACCAAACAGTTTTGCTTCATTTATTACCTCTGCTAGGCCGAGTGCTTATAACGAATTCCAAGCCCATCTCAGAACTGCACAACAAGAGTGGAAGACCCGGATCACAGAGAAATCTTGATTTATCTAACTGAAGAAGTATAACTATATCTTCCACGACTTTATAGAACTTTCCTTACCGACATGTCAAGTTAAATGAGAAATATTCTCCTTAATTGTCAACATTTTTTGATTTCTACATCATCACTGTTCATTGCTGATGTTCTTGCTGTACATGTTGAGATTACGCGCATCATTACATGACTTTTTTTAGTTATCACAATATTGTATTTCAGCCATACATTTTTGTAATTCGTGTTCAGTAAGTTATATTTCTTGTTTTCATAATGACCAGTATATAAGTGAGAATGTTTTGAAAACATTACTGTTGTTGTATAATACTTTACTATCCAAAAATTGATAGTTCTTTGTGTTTGGTCAAAAGTAATGTTCAAGCAAATTTGATTTTCTGAGTTTCTCTCTGAAATGGATGGGTATCCTCACCTAGACCAGTGCCCAAGAGGCACTTCTTACAACTTTGTGCCGAGAAATTTGATACTATGTAGCTTATTACTTGAAGAAGCTGATTACTTTGCTTGGAGAATGGACGATCGGAGTCTCGTCAGTGACTCTGCTATGAGAATCTGAGCAACGTAATACCAAAAAGTCCACATATTCAGGCTTACCGAAGCACTGTCATTTATCGAATATGCAATTGTCGTCCGCTGCCATCCAGTCACTAAACCCTTTACAAATCGGATATTTTTATATTTGCAGGAATTTCACCTAGAATCCTTGCTGCTTGCCACTATAGCCAAATGTCTGTATGCGGTGTGCGGTTCGAATATGTTTGATAGGTGTGTGCAGTCTGATTGCTATCATCTATTTCGCTGTTCATGCTGCCAACTCGAAGATTGTCGAGACATGGGACGAAAATGGTATGTTCAATCTTTGTCCCGCTCTTTCTCTTGCCAGGATAATTTCTGTTGCAGATGATCTCGCTCGGCACATTCTCGAAGGGGCTGAAACAGCAGCCGAGAACAAAGCTAGCATTTCGTCATCGACGGTGTCGCTATCTGCCTCGGTCGCCGTTGTTATTATCATCTCACTTGTTAGCGTATCACTTCTGATTACAGGTTAGTTGAGTGAACGTTTCATAGTGTTAACATTAGCCCGTCTCAAAGTGAACGAAAAACAAGAAAATAAAATGAAGTGGGTGCAAAACGTGGAAAATTACGAAATACGCAGTAGCGAAGGCGAGCGCATTCTGAATCACCTCTTGCTTGGAATGGTATTAACAAGCATGATTTCAGCAGAAGTCTAGTCACATTGTCACATTGCGTATAGCTATCGGGAAGGCACGGCAGAGGAAAAAACGGAAAGTCATCCCAGATGAATTGAGCCTCGCAGCACAAATAAATGTCCAGTCGAAGGAGAAGTGACATATCATTTTACGATGATTCTTCCCACTTACCTGCATCGAGGACCACCCGCTGAGTGGGCGGGCTTTACCACCCTATTGTATCTTGGAGGTATTGACCTCACTCTCCTTTCATTAGCTTACCGTGAACGGTTCGCTCGCACTATCTGACAGTACTCGCATTATAATAGATCTAAACCACCAATATTGCTCTCCTCACATAGCTATCGTATCAGTCCGAGGCCAACATCCCTCGAAGAGTATTCTGCCCGCTAACAGGAGATGACGCTACGCATGTTACGATTCAACTCAAGACGAATACGCTCCAAAACAGCAACGCTTTTGTTTTATCAGATCTGGAAAGTGTCAGGATGCTTCTGACATTTGTTGACTAATTTCTATCAACTTGCTGACGATGCAATGGTGCACACTCCTAGGAAGTTCCATAGGAAAACTGAACGATGGTGCAGTGCAGAAACCCATAAACATTACAAAGTTGGAAGAAAAAGCACAAAATGACAATATTCGATATCAAGGATGCTCAACAGAAATATCCAAACGCAGGTGCAGCAAGCAGGAGCGTTATAAAGTAGACATATGCGGGCACTTTTACGGGGCCGTGCACCTAAAAAGGGAGAAATGTACTGAATAAAGAGAAATAGTGTCAATGCTACGAAATGAAATCGTCTACCACTTTCAATTCCAAACATGGGAGAATGCCTAGGGAACCAAAGGAGATGAATGAAAAATGGCAAGCGTATTTTCCAAAGGCCCTAGTTAGGATTGTGCGTCAGATGCAGAGGTCATCATCAGCGAAATCAAAATTACAAGAATGCTGTAATTTTGCAGCTCGTATGACTTCTGAACCTTTCAGCAGATTCTAAGATAGGTCAAGCGAAGATGTGATATAGCTGAGTAGCAATGGGGAATAACAGAGGCGGCATTGCTGAGTGCTTCATGCACCCTTTCAAAGGGTGATGGTCTTCCAAAATTAGCAAAGACGCGGTTTCAAAACGACGCGGATTCTTGAAGCGCTGCAGTATAACTTAAACTATTCATATGGCCAGACTAATAGGCTCATGTGTCCATGACGCGTATCCGGGCCGGATCGAATCTTTCGTAAGAGCTGAAGCCACCCCAATACTTGCCCTACATAAGCAATCTACAATGAATAGACGCAGAGAACTAACCTGTTGTCGGTCCACACTGGGTATCGTTCGCGTACGTCCCGCAGAGGAGGCCTAGCTTATACCAGCTCAATGTTTAGCGAGTGACCGGTATTTCACATCGAGCAATAGGGTTGGCCTGGCAGGGGTGCGGCTACATGGGTTCTCGGCCAACTTCGCAGTCATTTTCATGCACTTTTCGCATGAGAAAGGCTCCTGTAAAGGACGGAGGGGCGGTGTAGTCAAAGAGGTGTGGCCACCAACACCTCCATTATGGACGCTTTATTACACTTCATTAGGTCATTCTGAGTTCGACGTAGCGTGTCGTTGCGAAGTTTGTAGTGATCTCCTTAATGGCAAGTCAGTCATCTATGTTTCTACAGGGCCAACTGAATGTGTCTCCTTTCAAAAATTTCAGTTTGAATACCCCTTTGTAAAAATGGCCGTGTATAGGTGCTTGACGTTAGTTCGTAGAACAGTCAAAGTCTAATGTCTTTTGTTTTAGGTATCATAATCGTTGCGATCACTGTCGATCCTACAACAGCCGAAGATGAGTCGGACGTTGAATGGGACAGTCCACGGGTGGGTAGACACGATTATGACTCGCACAATCTCCCTCGACTCATGCTTATGCGCACGTAGAGAAGAGATGAGGCACGCATCTGGCACTAGTGCACTTGAGAACCTTCGTTACGTGGGTGTTGTTGCTCACGGACTGGGGACAGTCCTTCCCAACTGCATATCTTCTTCTCATTGTTCTCATTGACAGCACGTAGACGCGGAGAGCGCTGAGCTGTTGTCCGTCGACGTGATCGACGAGCCAAAGTGTTACTACTCAGGAGAGTTGTTTCATGAGTTATGAGTATTGAGGCTATGATTTCACTTAGTTTGGGGGTGTCGCATTAAACGGTGCGCACTCGGCATCTGGTTTAGCGTACGCAAAATGGACGTCTTTTTACACTTATATCATGCGTATCTGAGTTGTCGCTGTGCTACTGGGTAGTGCGCCACCTTTCGCAGCCTATGCGTTATTGTAGTCGTTGTAGAAATCTTAACTGTGAACTACTTTATTGCCTGAGATCTTGCCTGAAAATGTCTTTGACGTTTATCGATTCCGATGCTTCCTTTGATCTGTACTGATATTTTCGAGTATTTTCTGCCTAAAGATGAAGACATAATCATTATTTTATTAGCATGAGATTCATTTTGAACAAAGAGGAGTTGTATTTAAGCTAGATTTTAGCGTAGTATTTGACAAGATTCTTCCCTTATATGGTCAGCTGGCTCAAGTTTACTATTGTATCACAATCTTCTCTGCAACTTCAATTCACTTTACAAGATAATAATTTATTTAGTTGAGCTAATTTGAATCTTCTGCCATGATCTTTTCTTCTGACTGATGACTTTGGTGCAAATCATATTTTGCATCTGAATAAAGAGTTTCCTGTAACTGTGACTTGATCGAGAGAAATACAAAAAAGTAGGTATCCTAGGACAGCAGTTTTTCCTGTATTCGATAGCTGCAGGACAGAACTGGATGTTCATTTGCAGGATATTTACGAAGTTGATGAGTCAAAGGTATCACGTGCATGTTGGTCTTATTGTTAGACCCAGCTGGAAGAGCTCAATATTTACTCTTTGATTCGTCAGGAGTGCGGCTGGTGGACGGGTTGCTTGCTCTGCGCCTGTTTCGTGAGCACTCTCTATTCATTTTCCCGTCACGAGCATGGGAAGGGCGGAGCTTCAGTAGCCAGAGTTCACGATTGCGAAAGAGGCGCAGACTTTAGCGAGGCGGCCGTATGGACGTGAGGCCCTCCCACAACCTTCAATTTCATTTAATCTAAATCTTAATGATAGGCGTATAACCATTTGGACTCGCCCTGGAAAGCTGTACAACGTCTCTGCATTCCAATTTTTCAGGGGCGTCACTAATTTTGCAAGAAGTGAGTGGAACTTAATGGAAACTTGAGAGCATCATAATCAAAATGCATTCGGGTAAACGTATTCATCGTCGAGTTTATTTGTGACTTGATATGCGCATTGCACACCTGTGTGCTTTGGCGACTTGTAAGAATAGAACCCGCTCACTTCCATAATATTCCCTTGTTTCAGCTCTTTTAACATGATTGGATATGTGACAGTCAGTACCGCACATCTACAGTTTTTATTTTTTGCTTCGACGGGATTGGCGGCTGGAGGCGGGGCTGCTAGGCCTAATGGCTAGAGAATGATCAGAGCACGCTCGCGAAATAGATGCAAACTGGTTCGCGTGTGCGAGCTGTCGCCTTCCAGCCGCCAATCCCGTTGAATCAAAGTGTACGCTAGAAAAGGTTTCGAGTAATACTTGAGAATTGGTGTCATCAATTGCCGCGCGTAGACATTATTGAACCGCGTCGCCGCAGCCTGTGCACTGCCTGCGTTGTGAATTAACTGTTCTGAGCTGCATAAATCTAAACAGTTCCCGCATTATAGCTCTGTAGTTACGGTTTATATACGTTCATATGAGGTCAGTGATTAGGGTTTCAATGTATAAACGATTCATTTCATCCTATTATTCAACAGTAAAAAATGGTACAAAGCTCCTTATGTAACTTCAAGGCAGTAGCTGCTGTTAGGCAAATATGTCAGAATTGCACTTACGGAGTAGATGCTTAGCGATTAAGCAATCAAATAAAAATCTCCAATCCTATCTCTCCCGTTAAATGCTTGCTTCGCTGCTGAATTTCGTGAGACTTAGAATGACCTATACCTAAATTATAAGAAGATCGAAGATAAAATGAAAAAGGATGAGTGCAATTCGGCTCAACTGCGATGAAGAGGAGAAAACTAGAAAGTACAGCGATTATACAAGAAAAGCAAACCGATTAGTAAATCAGCATTAAAATCGGATAAGAGTCGCCTATCGTAATATTTACACGTAAGAGGTCAGTTTTCGAGGTATCTCTTATAGCCCACGTACAAGAATTATTCTTTCGAACTTTACATTGATTAACGTTGTATGTCCTTATAAACTAGCTGAGGTCAATCTATTTTGAAGCTGAAGGTTCAAATCGAGGGAGGAACAGGCCGAATTTGTGTTCGATACCACTGAACGTTGCTGCCGCAAGACGATATCCACCGACATGATCCGGATTCAACGAGCTTTCCATGAGCGGTTTTGAGACGGTGGTCTGAAAACGAGATAATATCTAGATTATACTTCCTTCTGTGTGCTTATTTATCAAAAATTTGTTGTGGTTCTTTTATGTCCAAGTGTTTCATCATTTGTTTAATTTATCATTTTATTAAGTAGTCTCTATAATTTGTTATCACAAGCCTAAGACGAGAGGACTACCACCCTAGAATCGTGAAAGTTACATCATAAGATCCTGCACAAATGTTGAACTATTGAGCCAAAAGTTGCCATTAAGAATGAGATCAATCAATCGCATTAACATATTTGCAACATCATCAACTCAAACGCTACATTGAAGAATTTTTCTTGATTGATTGGTTGCAAGAATAGGCAAGTATATATTTTACTTCGTGTAGTATGGTTTTAGCTATAATGGAAATCATAGGTGCGATAGGTGGAGCAACGACTCTGCTCCTTCATTTTCGGCATCTGGATGATCCCTTCACCTGAGATTGAGACTGAGACTCAAGGCATAACGGCAGAATAAAGCCCATAATAAATGATACACCCTTTGTTTGAAAAAGAAACGCCAGCTGTTGCTTCCTCTTACAATTGGTCAGTGCATAACTGCATCTTTGAAAAACATCGTAGCAAGAGCGTTGGCTGAGAAAAACGTATGCTTTAACCTCCTATCTCAGCTTCTATCTCACTGCGTATAAAAATATATCAAGAAAAATGAGAAAATGTCTGATTTTTCGACTAATTTTGTATCAATGAATACACATTGTTGCGAGCAATTGAACAAGAACAGGAAGTTCGGTCTAGACATTGATGGATGTTTGTTTTCACTGACAATCTAACCATATCTCCTTTCAGTGAAGATGATGAAAAAGAGAGGGCAGTTAGATTCGTCATTTTTGAGGTTTTCGATTCATATCTGAAGCTTCAAAAAAGACCTTCAAGGTTTTGTGATTGAATCGTAAAATAATACTGAAATTTTATTCAAGTAAGACTGCTCTTATCTCCAGTAGAAAAATTAGACTAAAAGAACGGTCTACATCGCTTTCGGTCTACATCTACGGTCTACATCGTCTTCCTAGTCTCTCCCCCCCCCCCCTCCCCTCTACCTAGAGATGCATGACATTTTATCTGAAAACAAGCGCTTTTGTTGAAATCTATCCACGCAAAAAATGAATAAAGCTGCCCGATAGTCCAAATTTTACAAAGCCAAACTTTGCCAGTAAACTTGGACCGTCTCTTTTTTTATAACTTTCCTTTTTCCAGAGATGAAACACGAACTGGTAGCAATGATTTAATTTATCTCAGAAAACTGGAAAAAAGAAACGGTCTACGTCGGTCCCACATGTTCCAAGCTTTCAAATGACATCAACTAATGGGAGATAAAGCTTCCCTGTATCAAAAGATCTCTGTTTGATGACCCCTCAAAGCCATATCACTGATGCTCGAAATTATATCTCTGTACCACTTTTTGATCTTTCACCCCCTTCCCACACAGACGGTTGACATTTAAGTTGACATCAGCGATCACCTGTGTCTTACTTACTCCCTTCATTTGCTCGAGAGTAGGGGACTATATGTCGCCTATATGTCGATAGGCTCCGCCTCTTGCGGACTGCTGGTACAAATACGCAGTGTCTGTAGCATGCATGGCTGTTCGTCATAGATGTCCGCGCGCGTGGGACCACCACCTTTCGGCGACATATAGTAATCCATCACTGCTCGGAATTAGCCAAACCCCCTTCCCCGAAGAGAACTTTCCCTGCCCTCCGTCGCATCTATGATGGGAAAAAATCCCAAAGCCAGACTGTTAGAATCTAACTTCTGACGACAGTATGCGTTGGCTGATTAAGGCAAAATGGTTTTTTCAGTAAATAAAATTGCAGCATACCTCAGATCCAGTCGGTCGCAATCCACCAAAATCTACATAGAAGACTCGTTGTAGCACCTGGAAAACTCATAATGAGTTCAAAAAGTGAGGACAATGAAATAAATAGCTCAGACCTCATAAGTCAACAAAGTTACAGCAAACTGTGGACTTGAGCGACATACTCGAGCCGCTGTTCCTTTCCAAAAAGCTGCCGGACCTTCTTCCATCATGATTTTTCGAGCACAATCTATACGAGAAAGTTTATGAATTTTATACCGTGCTAGATCAGTAGGAGTATTTTGACCTACCAATAACACCAGAATAGGTGGTTTGTCCAGCTCTTGCAGCTACTTGAAGTCTCGTTTTGATTACGTCTGCAGGAGTTACCAAACCAGCAGCCGGAACACCGGCTATGAAGGCGGAAGCGAACAGGGAACCAGGATGGTTAACGCCCTACAAGTTTTTATGCTCTTGATAACTATAGTTTGATAATAAAATGACGTAACGTACATCATGATCAGCAGTGGCCAATTTTGCATGAGCATAGGCTGGGAAGTAGATGGCCGAGAAGGGGATATCACGAAGGAAGCAAGCACGAGCTCCTTTGTAGAGTCCAATGAATCCCAGTTCTTTCAAGACGGTGAAGACGTTTATCTAAATAGGAGCGCGAACATAATTTTCAGCAAAAATAGCATATAGAAAAGTCGCAATTACCTTATGCGAAGTCTGTATCTCACCAGCAACTTGCAGACGAATTTTGACAATCTCCAAGGGGTTTGTGAAGATTACCTAAATCTGTTATATTTATTCATACACAGCATTTTGATGTTAACCCTGATCTAGATATATAGGGTTTGAGGAAACTAAACTATCGTCACAGAAAATGTTTACGAGCAAAATGGTAAGGCATTAATAAGCAACCGTCAGCATACAAATTCTGAAGAAAAACGTTCAGACTTATTTACAGAGACAAGCTTACAGATAGCTTATAATAGCAAGGCTTGGCTTCAAATTTGCGATTTGAAACGATAGTGAGCTAAAATTGGAAAGAAAAGTTGTTGTCATTTTTGCTGACTACATGATACAGATCATAGACATTAGACATGCAAAAAAGTGGCCGCTTAAAAAACAATCGTTCAGAAAAAACGCGTTCTCGGAAAATGTGAGGGTAAGTAAAAGGTGTTATACAACTGTGCTTATAATTGAGTGAGAAACTGATAGTGATAAGGATAAGATGAAGTAGTTAGTACATGAGAAGATAAAACGAGATATGAAGTTTTTAAAAGAGTTGCAATACATACCACTTTGGGATTTTTCTAACAAATTAAAAGGAACTTGAGCCAATTCACAGCTACGTGTCATTTGCAAAATCGTATCCAAGTCACATTTTCAGTCTTGCAGTAATGATATCACAGGACAAAGGGTGAGATTAGAGAGTATAATAAATCTTATGACCGTTCTCACCTGACTTCCACCAGCGCATCCTCCGGCAAAAACCTCAGCAGCAAACGGGATTTTGCCTTCCTTTGTGAATTTATCCCTCACGAAATCATTCATCGTCAGTTTGATGGCTTTCTCGGGGGCAACACCAACGATTTGGGGAAGAAGACCACGATAGAGTCCAAGTAAGCCTAGGTATATTGTAGTTGCTAGGACATCTCGAAATTTCGAAAAAAAAACTAGAAATGAAATCAAAAGAAAATTTTTTTAGATCTGTAAACTTTGCTTGATTTGCAAACAAATTAGATTCCCTGGCTGCAGCGGCACATTACATAATGCAAAAAATTCCCTAACCATTTCTTTTATCTGCATCTCTGATTTAATCAATCTGCTCTTTCTCAAAAGATAAATAGAATTTTTACTGTTACCGAAAGATTATTGTACCCTACTTGTTTCATCTACCGTAATCATTTGACTGTTTTGTTAGGTCGTAACATAATTTTTGTTGCGATTTTTTTCTCTAAAATGATCTGATATTTGGAAGATATGAGGAGGATACACTATCCATTAGTATCATTTTGACCTTCACAGATATGGGTTGCATAAATAGGGCAATTCTGTAATGGCACTCAATTTCCATTTTTTTCTTTTTCATTTAAAAAACTCTCAGTCTTATTTTTTATGCTTTAGATTTTTTTGTGGATTTCCGGGGTCTTTAGTACTAATACGAAGACAGTTTGAAAGTCTAGGCTACTTAGTAAGGCAAGATAGAAATTTGTCAAAACTTATATGAAAATTTTCAAAAACATAAGATTGGATTTTCTTTGTGTGATGTATAAATCGAAAAGCTGGATCCATCTACGTAATCGTAAGGTGCAAAAATCTTTAAAAAGCCATGGAGATTTTTATACTGTAAGTGTATCAAAACTTATATTACGACCTGGCTCATTTTCCCCTTCTTTTTCGGAAAATGCGGAGTATTAGAGTTGATACAAAATTTTTGTTCGGTCTCGACATGACTAAAATTAGTAAGAATCAACGATTATTCACCTTCATACTTCACGACCTTCCTGAAGCAATCCAAGCTGTTCTTGTACATGACTTCGCCCACGAAGGATCCAGAAGTCCTCTGATTTTGCATCCTCGTCTTCACAAGATCTATGGGGTAGACGGCGGTGGCGCCACATGCTCCTGCGATGGATCCTAGCAGGAACCGATAGGCCGATTCTAACACCTACAACATTAACAACGTCAGCAGCAACTAAGCAGACGATTTGTCATCGGGAAAAAAGTCCTATAAGTCTTGAGGAGAGAGAGAGCGATAACGAGAAAACCCACCGCCGTTCCAAAACCTCGTTCTTCTTTGCTCGCCACGGCTTTCACGTTGATCAAACGTTCAGTTGCTGAATTTCTTTTGAGTCGCTCAGGATCTATTAGTTCGATATCCTTGAGCGATAAAGTTTTCTTGCCGGGGTGCGCCAATTCGGAGAGGTGAAATAAGATCTCGACCTGAAAAAATCTGAGAAAATTAAAATAATCGCCAAAAATCGCAAGAATAAAATCACTTTGTCATCGTCAGGCATCAGCTGATGAGACATCGACGAGAAATTACAGAAGCTTTTACACAACTAGCAGAAGTTTCAGAGGAATAAGTCAGCTTATAGTCAGCGACGGAACTAGTCCCATGGGGGTGGTACTGATTTGCCCGCCCCCAACAGAAAAACTTAAGAAGTGCTACTAATCATCTTGTTACGTCTGCGATCGCTATCAAAAGATTTTTTTAAGCACTTGAAAAGCTAGTGATCAAAGATCACAGCTGATTAGGTGTATAGAAATAGAAATAGTAGTACATAAAAATGTAGTATCATGTCATTATGCACATTATAAAATCATTTTTATTGAAGAACAAAACTATCCTAATTCATCAAACTATTTCTCGCAGTAAACTCGAAGAAAAATATTTGAGTCCCCCCCCCCCTTCCCTCGTCGCCACCTGAACTGAATTTTGTGAAGTGGTAATTGCGATTTGTCGCTAGAAATCTAATATGAACCAAAAAAGCGCTTGAAGTATTCTTATTTATTCTCTGGAAAGACTATTTCTCTTTCTTGACGCAATGAAACTCGTAAAAAAATTATTGATTTCCCACCCCCTCGCTCTTCGCTACCTGAACTCTACCTGGACTAAATTTTTGAAGTGATGACTGGAAATTGTCCTTAGAAATCTTATATAAACCAAAAACGCCTAGAACATTAGTAGACAAAGACTTAACACGCGGAAAGCGCAATAGTATCAAATCAAAATGATATCAGTCTTCTAGCGTCGCTGCCAAGGATAAGTTGAATAAACATTCTTGATATAAAGTACATGCACTTCTTTCTCCAAAACAAATATTTTCTCCTCTTCTTCTCAAGCAAATATCTTGAGAATAGGGAAAGATTCACTAGAAAAATCAAAAATTATATCACAGTGTGCTCGAATTCATGCAACCTCTATATTCCAAAAAACTATTATGTAGATTCGAATTTCCAAAAAAAAACATTTCGAGACCCGTGCCTGGAATACCAAGAAATTCTGGTTTTGCAGAAAAACAAATTATCGTTCATCAAGCAGTTTGAAGTGAAAAAACTGCCACTGCCGTACCTCATTTCATCTACATTCAATTGATTTAGTGATCACTGGAATTTTCTGTGCGTTCACTCATGAAAAAATAAAGGAAAACATGAAAGTACCTATGTATGAAGAGCTGATAGCTTTGGATTACTGAAAATTTATTTTCTACTTTCCAAAGTTTTTTTGTCAGAAATGCTTTAGATATTAAAACACTATTGTTTGAGACAAACGCTTCTTTAGTTTTGACAAAGATAAGACCATTCTGCTAAAGTGCAAACTATTTGAAGTTCAACAACCATTAGCCTTCAATGAGATGGCAGGACAAAGCAAGCGAAACACACAATCCATAAAAAAGGACAAAGTATTATAGATTTTCAAAGCTGCTTGATTTAAGACTAGAGTGCATCAAATGCATTTGTATAGTTCGAAACTTTCGTAGGTTGTTCCCAACATGATAATTTTGCTTTCTAAGGTAATGTTCAGGCGACCGAAGCCCTCCCCCTCCCCCTCCAAGAATTGCAAAACGTTCTTAAATCAGCAGTATGAGTTTAGAAAATTGTATAAACGACCTATAATCATTTGTTAATAATTTGAGTAGATAATTTAATATAAAAATTTTTTAGAACTTTCTTGAAAATTCGAAACAGCTTCGTAAACATATTCTGGGTCTACAGGCTCACCAAAAAGTTGATATTCCCAAATAGTGCCCAGATAAACTCCTCCCCTCCCCCCCCCCCCTCTCCCCCCCCCCCCTCCAAGAATTGCAAAATCTTTTTGAGTGAGCTACATGAGATTAAAAACTGTGTAAACGACGTGTAATCACTTGTTAATATTGAAAGAATTTTAGACATTTCTTGAAAATTCGAATCAGCTTTGTAAAATTACTCTCGGTCGTCTACAGGCTCACCATAAAGTTGGAATACTCCCAAACCAGTGCCCAGATAAACTCGAGTACTCAGATTTGCCCTATAAATAGTCGAAAATTGCTCAAGTATGAATTACACAGCATAATAGAGCATAATTATTTACATAAAAAACACCAGGAAAGAAGCTTGCAATCTTGAAAATAGTAGTATTCATCAAGCGCTCCTATCATAGTAACAAAAATGCTGTAAAACTTCTCAGCTCAATCAGGAATCTATACTATAGGCAAGAAAAAAGTTTAGCTTCGAAAAAAACCTTGACAAATGCGGGTGAATTAACCATGTTATTGTTCATAGAAGACTTTTTAGCAATATTTCTTCCTCCCACTGAATCAGCTGTTGAGAAAGAGAGAAGTAATTAGAGATGATCGGGATTAGAATGCAAGAAAATGTGTAGGCCATCTGATGAGCAGCAAGTGTTCTACACAAACATTCGCATTTATCAAACGGATTTGTAGAGAGAAAAAAAAAGAAAAAGGAAGAGGAACAGACTGTAGGCAAACAAAACGTCAGAGAAGGTAAACGTGCATTAGCACACTCATTGCAAGGGATCATTTTATAGGATTTGATGACGTCTTTGTGTAATTAGTCAATACTCAATCTTTCCTCGACTCTCCTATAAAAAACGCTTGACCCGGGGGAGGAAATATGATTTTGGTGTAAAGAATAATGAATGATAGGGAACTTTAGGGTCTCAACGTTCAAATGACGTAGTTGTGGTGTGTTACAGATGACCACATTTCGCAAGAAGTAATGTACTCGGGTAAAAAGAAAACCCCCTAGATACTCTAGCTTGGGTAAAAAACGAATACAACCTACCTCATAGGGTGTTATTTGAGCATAACTTTGTGTTGCTTGCAGGAATTCTTCCTTTGTCAACTCCAGATCCAAATTCCCCCTGGCTTGGCTTACATAAACTCGTTTGATGAGTTCCATCTTTGCCAACAGACTGTTGAACGCGGCATAGTACGGAAATGTGACCTAAAAATATTTTCTTTATAATTGTTCTAGCAATTCAAAGTACAGGAGTAACAAGCGCACAAAGATGAAACATTTTGACGGTAGACATGAGGAATGAAGCATGGGAATGGGGCTGGGTGGAAGTAGTGGGCGAGAAGTCGTTTTGTAGGAGAACTTACTTTATTATTTGAACAGTCAGAAAACTGAAATATTTCGCTAAAATTAAGGTCATAAAAGCTTTTTCTTTGTACGGCTTAGTTTTCCGGTCATTTTGAAATTAAAATGTTGAATCCTTAAAACAATAGAGCATTTCACTTGGCAAACTCCTCAAAATTTCCAAATTTTTGGAGCACCATTGCTTCTGAATTATCACAGTATTTCTACATATGTGTAATATCTACTAACACATTGACGGCCATGCAGATTTTTAGTTGTCTGCCTTCTGGGGCCAAGGCCTTTTACGGACCAGCCCGTATTTCTCAACTATAATTACGCATACTGCCATCTACAGTATACCTACAGTAAGATCTGAAAGGCTGAAAATAACGGTAGAGGTCATCGCTAGACTCAGTGCAGAAGAAAGCTCGTAAAGTGTGTTTATCAAAGTATAGTAGTTATTTTAACAAAATTCAAGCCTTGACACAGATGGTGTGTCAAGGCTTGAATTTTGTTAAAATTTTCCAAGCGATTCCACGCAGTAGTCAATGCTTGGCACGCCATGTGTGTCAAGCGGTCGTCAATGTGTTAACGTATTTAAAAAATATCTGCTCTTTCACATCTCTCCTTGAAAAAAGTAGACAGTCCGCAATGACGTACAAAACCCGTCCCAGACCTTGTCAAAGAAAATTCATGCGATGCTTCACAGTCTTCGTTATGGCGTTCGAAACCCCTTACGTGAGTCACAAAATGTGGATCGACTTTTCACTTGTGAATGAATAAAACTGTAACTTGAATGAATGTTTTGATTTTTTGAAAGTTTCAATTACTTCTGCGAAGAATTTTTTTAGTGAGTGGCGGCACTACGCCCCTTTTTTGAATCCAGGAACATGAGCTTGAAGAAATTTTGGAAGGCATCACAAAAGATATTTCAAGATGCGGGGCTAATGCCATGCACCTTCATTCGCAAAAGAATATGGCGCCTCACCCCCTCCCCCACTCCAAAAAATTTCTCGGACTGCCACTGTTTGTGACCCAAATGAGCGACTATTATACATCGACATTGCACGAATTTCGGGATGTTGACCGCGAAACGCTTTAGGGTTTTTTAGGCACTAAGGTTAGCGAAATCTTAGAACAAGACTCGACGCGCATCGTGGGTAGTGTCCGCAGCCGCACATATCAGGGCATAAGGTGACTCGACTACACGACGACATTACATACTTAATCACACAAAGCGAAAAGCTCAAAAAGTAGGCAAAAATAATGTGTCCGTTTTTTTTGTCGCTTCGCAAAATACGCCATGCAATGCACAAAATATGTGTTAGTAAGCTGCAGAAAATTAGCGAACTAAAATGCAGAAGGATGAAAATACCTTATGTCCACTGGCACCTCCTCCGGAAACAGCAATAAGATTATTGCGTACAAAATCTGTCAACAAATGGTTCTTCACAGTTTTCATAATATGTTGAAAGTCTAGCGAACTTATCGCTCCATCTCCTGTTTTGTCATACCTGGGAAAGGAAAGCATTAGAAAATCAAGATTTATGAAGGGCGAGGAAGAATTTACCTTTTGAACGCTTGCATTCCTTGCTCTTCGTAGAAATCGTGCAACAACTGCGTAAAGGCGTGGTATGTAATGTTTCTCTGTTTATCACTAGAACAGACACTTGTAGCAAAAGTAAAAAAAGGAAAAAGGAAAATGAAAGGCTCGTGACGTTCTGATCATATGATAGAGAGCAAAACTTACACTCCGAAATATTTCTTGATGAATTCAGAATTAAAATCGAAATCCATGTCGATAAGAGGTTGTGTATGCTTGATGACTGCCTCAAATTCATCGCAAGTGATCGAGTCGGAAGAATTTCGGTCGAAAATTTCGAATGCAGTAAGATAAAGCGCATCAGGGCTAAAATATATTTTTTTACATTTTTTAATTAACAGAAAAAATGGTACCTGCATAAGAGGGCTTCGAAAGCGCAAAATTCTTCAAAAGAGATGTCTCCATCCTTTGTGGTATCCGCAGCAGATGCTAATAACCGGACAGATTCACGATTATAGTTTTCATCCGTGTACAAGCCAAGATATCTGAATCAAACTTTCAAGTTATAAAAATATTTTCAAGCAAAAGCTGCGCTCCTAATGCTGACAGAAAAGAGGAAAAAAAGGTTGGCTTCGAAGTTTGAATCAAAGCGAGTGGAATAAGCACTATAAAGATTATTGAGTTTGAAAAAAACTTCCGAATTCAATGATTTCGAAACTCATTTCAGCTCTCACTCTAGTGGTTTACAATAATTGATTTGATTTATAGCTGGTACTGAGCGCATTCTTCCAATCAGCATTTTTATTTCGCCACCATTTTATATGCTGCGATAATCAGCAGAGAACATATAGTTGAGATATCACAATTCCAAAATGAAAGAAATTATTATACACAGAAATCATTGTCAAATGCAGTCCAGTTGATGTTAGTAAATACTACAAACACTAAGCTTTTTCTCAAACAAACATTACTATGAAAATATAACTGAATGGAATTAACCCATACTTCCCTCGCTTGCCAACAAAAACAATCTTTAGAGTTTTCTCTTTTTTTTGTAGGAAACCTGCATCGTTACTCAAGAACGCCTTTTCAAAGGTGTAAATTCAAAGGAAGATGGAGGGTAGATGTCGCGCTGAGTAGATGGTATTCACAGCCATGCATTTCATACATTTTATTGTATTTTATTTTATTTTGAATATTTTTTACATTTCCAGATTTCCCAAGTATTATGGTCAGAGTGCGTGCTAAATGAATATTTACCAACTTTCTAAGGACAACTATCAGGATAGCAGTTGAAAAAAAAGTCCTTTAAATTTAATCAATCAACTGAACTATTTGGAGAACTGTTTTTCATATATGATAACACTGAAGCACATTAGCAAAACTTTGACATACTATATACTTATACTTACTTACTTTACTATATATAATACAATTAATTTCGCTGTCCTATAATATAAAATGATGGCTTTGTGAGCCAATTTCGTTTTTTCCGACATTGTTTGCAACGCTGTTTTTGCAAAAAGTAGGAACAATGTTGATGCAGCGCAAACAAAACCACTTTTTCATTTGTGTAAACGTTGCCTGTATGACGATCTTATCTAAACGTAACAAGATTACTCTCTGAACTTCTTGTGGTACATTGAGATCAAGTCAAACAATGCTTTACAACTCCTTCCATCATTCATCTTTTGTACAACATGGCCGAAAAGGTAGAGATTACAGTGATCAAAAGATTATCTAGTATTTCTTGTTTTGGAAGCTAGAAAAACTCGAACATTCCGATATGAATCATGTGATCAAAGAGCGCACGAATTTTTCATTGTTTGCAGACGAAAGAATACCCTTTAACAGACCAAAAAACCGCCAGTGGTTCAGTTCTTTGGATTTTGAAAGAACACAGAACAGTGCAAGCATCAGATAAGATGAGCAATCGTTTCCTTTAGAATAGTAAAGGGAAACATACATTGTGTCATTTATAGCTTAATATGTGAGTCGACACACCACGCGCGCAACCGACGACACTTACTAACTACATAGTAAAACCTTTACAATGTCTAGAAATATGTAATGTAGACATTCAATAAAACCAGAAAGAGATGGATCAACGAGAAATCATCGGAAAGAGCATATTTCAATTCTATCGCCAAAGCGCGCATGGTGTCCAATACGCATATTGTGTCACCAGTGACTCTACAATATGGAGCCATGTTTGCACCAAGAAGAAATTTGCTCACTTGCTCAGATTAACTACCGAATACGTATTTGTAATTGAAAAATCTGTATTCCTTATTAGCGTTTTCTTTCAGCAATACTGCTAATTAGAAAATGCACGTAATAAATGAACATATTGCACATCAATTATACGTAAAAAAACCAAAAAATTCAAACAGACTCACTTCCTAATAAAATCCTCTGCTGTCATGTACTTCTTGCCATCTTTGCCCACTTTGGAAGCAAATCGTTCGAAGATAGGCCGTAAGGTGTCCGGATGGGCGCGAGGGATAGATCCTAGAATATTTATTAGGTTGCTGCAAAAGTTCTGTCCGAAATTTTTTGCCTTATGTTTGAAGCAGCTGCTCTAAGAGGATTTCATTTCTGATGCGATATTGTTAGTATCATTAGAAAGTGCTTTTCTTGCGCTTTCTAAAGCATATCAGACTTCAATAAATTTCTCAGTGTAAGGAGATTTCAGGCCCAAAATCTCCAAGTGGTCGAGGTACGTTCTCACCCTAGAAATATTTCTTGCGAGGAAATTTCCATAATGCGCCCTTCAGGTCAAGTTTTTCAATCGGTTCCGGAATAAGGGTGTAACAGGCTAGCATACGCATAAGTTCAGTTTCATGAAGAAAACGTCTTGCTAGTAAAATTTATTGTCAAACATTAATTTTCTGTATAGATGTTTTACAAGCTATAACTTTCTGCGAATAGAAGTAATCGACGACTTCAAAGTTGGAGGTGCTAGGGTAAAGCAAAAGCTAGCAGATACCATCCACCAATTTCTTTTCGGCGCTCTAATTGTAAAATTTTTCATAACTTGTAAATAGGCATGCACACATACACTGAGGCGAGGTCAAAAAGTGGCTTCTTTTCTGCTCGGTCAAAAAAAATATCTCGGCAACGCAGACCCTATGGACTCATTTTTGCCTTGAAATAATCTGCGAAAATTTCTCTATCTATCCGTTGTTGGACAAGATGCCTATCAATTCTCATAAGGGAGCACTGCCATGTCAAAAAAGACAGGTTTGAAGAAAAACGCTGTGAAGTTTTTGAGTTCTTGCTCCTTCCTTTACAAGGATTTTCGCAGGTTCCAATGTGTATCTGATAGCCAATGAAGCACTCAACATAGAGAAACTAAAATCTTGGAAAAATGTTGACTTTGAAGAGAGTTATGACATTTTGAATTCAAAAAATTCAAATCGGACAGAACTTATGCAGCAACCTAATACAGTGTAGACAATATCTCCTAACTCTAATGGAAGAAAATTTGGTTGAACCAGGTTTGAATTCGAAAAATTACGAAGTTTATTAGGACAGCTTTGAAACGAAAATACAACAGAAATTCCTACTTTCAAATGAATATATCAAATTTTCAAGCGAAAAAATCTGGAAAAAACAACTTAACGTTTGCGATAGATTGGGCTATCACAAAAAGACGTCATTGTATTTCGAGAGGAATTATTTCAGTAATAAAAGAAAAGCAAAAAAGAAAAGAACTACCTCTTGCAGCTAGTGCTAGCTCAGCATTGCATCGAGCTGTCCTAAACGGATGCAGCCGAAAGGACGATGTCGGGAACTGAAAATATTTTTTGTAGCTCGCATTTCATTTCTATGAATTCTCTTTGACAGTGAGTATTGGTTGTTTTGGTTTGCGAAATAAAGACCGATTTTTAATCTTTTTTCTCTGTTTTTAGACATGCTTATAGCCATGAACCTGTCATACTATAAGTATCGTCGAGCCACTTTCAACATTAAATGCGTATTGCACATCATGCCAGCTAATTGACAACTTCTAAGATAGAAATCTGTTGCTTCTAGGGATGTCTCCTTGTTTCCCTATCTCTACTGATTTGGTTGGGCATGTGTTGGTTAGCAGTGCATGCTCTGTAGTAGTTTCTACAGCGTTACGCTAGAAAAGGTTTCATGAAGTTTACTAGTAAAGGAGTCGTCGGTTGGTGTGCCTAATGTGCAGAAATGACATGTTAAATGCAGCATCCGGGCAAAATTTCGAATTGGACTTTTTTCCCTTACCTGGGGCTTATTCCTCCCGCTGATTCTGAAAATGCAGCTTGGAGGGCACGAAAACGCCGACGGGCTTTTCCAGATGTTCTTGGTTTGAAATTCGTCGCCTGCCGCCAAAGTTAAGACGCAGAGTCTTTTGGGAGTCTATCTTGACTGGCGGTATGCGCACTCTGGCTTACCTAACTAACTTGTCTTGGTCGTCGGGGCATTCCGGTCGCCACTTCTGAAGAGGATTTCTCGCTTCAGAAGCAAACTGGTGCATTGCCAGTTGGCCAAGAGCCTTATAAGGACGAAAGCTCCTGTACTCCAGATTTTCGTATCTGCCCGGACGCTGCCTTCAAGTTACAAAAAACGCGAGGAAGGATATGTTCACGCGGCCATTTCTTTAGATTTCTTTTAAATATAGAAATTATCCACATACCGGGTCGTTCGTTGGCAGTACATCTCGAGCAACGTCGCGCCGTCGACCAGAGGTGAGCAGGTGGTCGAACGACGGAACGGCCATCTACCTCCCGTACGGGCCAAGCTGAAATGAAAGTTTTGATTGAAAAATCAAAAAAATTATAATTTATAGGTAACGGCTGAAGATTATACACAAAATAATAATAGGGGGAAGCTGATATTACAAAAGACGAGCACCTTGATGAAAAAATCGTTATTGTATAGGGAATCTCAGACCAAATACTCATTATCCCAATTTTCTTTGCCTTGATGTTCGTTATGCTTCTGGAATTCTCTTCGCATTACCATGAACGCCATTAACCTAACTCAACAGTAATGGTCTACGAAGGTGGATTCAGAATCAAAACGAAAGTAAATCACCTTCGGTAGGCATTCAGATAGAAACTTTCTCCTTTTTTAGATCCAAAATATCGAATTTTCATATCTTCCTCAATGACTTCACATTATTCTTCAGCTTTTCTGAGATTATATGATGAGAGTATTGTAATAGAAAGTATACTTTTCAGAACATAAAATTCAGAAACTTTTTGAACTTACGCCACCATAAAAAGTAGTGTAGTGGAGCATCTAAAGTTCCACCACAGATTGTTTTTCACTGAGAATTTGCAGACAACGACCTTCTTATTATGACAGTAATTTGTCAAAAGTATTTGTCCTATCCTATAGTGATAGTTAGAATTTCGATGATTTTCTATATTCCAAACCTCAATGATACTCAATGGAAACACTACGAACTGGTGACAGATCCGTGTGCTTATTGAGAGAAGAAATGAATCCTCAAGCAAAGGTTATGATTTCAAGACACCTTTAAGTTCATGCTAGCATTTGAGGATAAACTCACGTGCAGCACACAGTCTTGCGAAGTGCCATGAAATAGTAACAGACAACAATTTATTCACTCATGATAGTGGTGTGCGGAAAGGAAATATATTTGGAAAACAGAAAATGTACCGGAGGAAACCGGACAAGTTGGGCATGAAATCATGAATCTCTTAGGTAGGGCCTCTGAAAATGATGATGATGATTATTGTCACGTCAGGCCGGCACTGATAGGTAAAGATAAAGATTTTAGTTTTTTTACTTATCAATTATCTACATGTGAACCTCATATCAGAAAACATTCGATTTTCTTAACACGGTATATGTATGTACATCAAGAATTTGATCACCTATTGAAGCGGTCGCTGTAATATTTTGGTGGTTCACTCTCTCAGGGAACCGAGAAAGCAAAAGAAAGCGCAAGCAACATGATGACGGCACCGCATTTCTAACGATTACCAAGGTGATTCACCTTGAACATACTCATAAGAGTCATTGAAATCGTGGATTTATAGCCATCATTTAAATCTCATATACTTTCAAATTTTAATTGCCAGCATCAGATTTGCTTGTGCTTTCCGGATTTACAGAAGTTCCGCCAAAACTCCAAAGTAGGAAAAACTTGTTGCGCGACAAGCGAATCGTAGAAGTTTCTGCAAATCACATCTATCTGCTGCTAATCAAGCGCAGATATCAAGGACAAATCAAACTCTCAAACGGTTGTAAGTTCAGACAAAAATCCAAAAATTCAGTTGCTTGGCAACAGCGCAAATAAAAAGTGAATGAGCCCCATGGTCATATTCATCTTTCCATTAGTTCGTTAAATATCAGATTGATGCACAATTTATGTATTATATATTTTCTACTCCTTACTTTCTCACTCTAATAATGAAGAAAGAAAATCTCGCGCTTTCAGAGATGCTCAAATCAAATTTGCTAAAACATCCAAAACCTAAGTTTATTGCTGGTCATGGTATCATGACCTACCCTTTTCGACTATAAAGAGTTGGTATTGACCGATTGTCTCCACAGATAGTTATGAATTTTTTGATATTTAACTAATTAATTTTGTTTCGAATACATTTTCTAATACGTATAATAGGATAATGGCTTTGATATATTAGGTTGTCCCATAAGTCTTTTCATTTTTGAGTTTTCGCTATAATAAGTCACACACTTCTGACTCTAAATAGACATTAGGACACCATGCAATAGAGCATGCAAGCTCTATAAGATGGCGTTTATGCTTTTGCACAAGTTTTGGTCCATCTCGAATTTTAAATCAAAATCTAAAAAGTTTCCGATGGCCAGAAAACCGAAATTTTTTTATATCTCCGTTCAAAGAAATCCTAAAAATCTCTAAGTCGCTCACGCATATACAATCCACATCAGACATTCACATGTGCTGTCGCTGTATTTTTTATCAGCTAGAAAACAAGAAACCGAAAAATTCCATGTTTTCACCAAAGTGATGCTGTGCTGTACTTATACTAACAGTTGTATACTACAAGCCTTTAGAAGCCCAACCGTAAATTTTTAGCTCTTTATGAGCTCTGGTTTCCGAGAAATGTTGATTTAAGCGTGAAAAACCCGAGTGAAGAAAGCTAAATTTAATATTTCTCGTGAACCAGAGCATATAGGAAACAAGAATCTACGATAGTACTTCTAAGGGCTTCTAGTATAACTGTTAGTATAAGAACAGCACAGCATCACTTTGGTAAAAACGTGGAAATTTTCGGTATCTTGATTTCTAGCTGATAAAAAAAAAATACAGCAACAGCACATATGAATGTCTGATGTGAAATGTATATGCGCGAGAGAGCAAGAGATTTGTAGGATTTTTTTGAACGAAGATATAAAAAAATCTCGGGTTTTTGGCCATTCGAAACTTCTTAGATTTTGGTTTGAAACTCGAGATGGACCAAAGCTTTTGCAAAACCTTAGACATCATCTTATAGAGCTTGCTTTGCTCTATCGAATGATCTCCCTACTCAGAATAAGAAATGCACGACTTGTCACATCGCAAACTCAAAAATGAAAAGACTTATGGGACAACCTAATACATATGAAAAGGAGCACTGCCTAAATAAATAACTTGTATACATTACTAAATTGTGCGTCAACCTATTACAAAGTAATAAAAGAATTCGTCCATATGACAACGTGCAAGCAGCGTGGAATTGAAGGGAAAGCCAGCTCTACCCGTTTACCGAGAAACCAGAAATAAGATACATGAAGAAATTCTGCTATGCTGACTTCAAACCCTTTGCCCGTAATATTTGTTTTTCTCTCAATAGCATATTCCAGCCGATGACGATAAAATGCTTGTATTTCAAGAGCAGCGTTTTTATCGATCAAAATATCCAAATGAAAGTTTGCACTTCTCGTTCAAAGCAAACCAAGAATGTCGTTGCGCGAACAAGTACAAAATTTTCAACTCTATGGTAAATCGATTTCAAGGCAATCTATTTTCAAGGCACATAAGACGTCTGGGTAATGAGTGACAAAGTTAACAATAATTAAAATATCAAGAAAGTGCGGTTTGTTGAGAAATATGGGCGGTATTAGTATTAAAAGGTTATGTCAATTGTTGAAACATGCATAGCTGCAAAAGTCGATGACTACTCATTGTGGAGTGCTACTCAGTAAATCCACCAGAGCTTATCTAACAACAAAGCTGTCTCCCGTAATCCTCACAACAGCTTCCCAACAACAAGAGTAGATCCGAAAAGCAAAACCGCATCTTTTTTTTCCAAATATACGGTCTCTAATAATGTAAAAACATTTGCAAAATCTGATAGAAAGTAAAGTTTTTTTTACAACAAGTCATATCGCAGGCAACAGTGATTTTGGGCTGTTTCAAAAAGTTTTACCCGTTTTTTGTGCTTCTCTTTGACCTCCAGTTTTGGAAAATGATCCCAATTTTTTATGAACATGGCTTGTCATTGAGCCCATTTTCTCTAGCTTTTCATACATGCTCTGGTTTTCGTAGAGCTTTCATTCTGTGGAATTCGCCCTTAATAAACAAGGAAGATGAAAGATAAATGTTTTGCAAAAATTTTGCTGGGGGCTTGTGCTAATGGCATTCGTTGAAAGGTGTTTTAAAAAAAATTATGAACATAGAAATTCCAGCATGAACATAACCCGTCGTTGTAGTTTTTACAAGTCGGCCAGAAAGTCTTAAAGGCAGCGGCTCGACAGTGACAACTTTGGAATATTCATCGTTCTGGATTCCTCTAAACGAGCTAAGTTCAAGCTCTGCTTGGTAGCTTCTAATGATCTTAATAACGCGCTTTTCGAGACGTAAAAAGTGCTAACTGGGCGGACCGCGTATCCTGCTCTCTAGGGCGCGAATGGCTTATGAGTGGAGACACCTTATCCACACTACCCACGAGCCAATCGGCTCGAGGGCAGGCTACGCCCTTTGCCCAGATAGCACTTTTCACGTCTGGAAAAGCGGGTTATTGATATCTTTTGAAGCTGCAAAGCACAGTTCTGAACTTAGCTCGTCCAGGGAAACAGAGAACGATGAATAACCCAAATTTGTCAACCTGCCGAGCCGCGCCTTTGAGCCGAAAGTGAGATTCTCGTTCTATGGAGTAAGAAAGCGCGTCCAGTGCCGGATGCGCGAAAAATAAAAAAACTTAAATTTTGTATTTTACAGTAGAAAAAGTAGATTCTTATGAATTATCTTCTAAAATCTTCTTGTCCAAGTATAGTAGAATCAAAATTTGGTAGTATGGTTCAGACATCCATTGGCTATATAACGAGCATTGTTTGTGTTAACTGTAGATTACAGTCCAGAACTTGAAGATTATAACAGAGCTTAATAAGTTGTTTTTGAATATGACAAGTTCAAGTTAAATTTTAAAAGAATGGTTGAAACTCTTAAGACAACCTAATACTTTACAGTAGGTAAATCTGGGAAAATCGACAGTCAAAATCAAAAAGCGAATCAAAAATACAGCATGAAAAGAAATGGTTTTCAGTTTGCAGCCCACGTGAATGTCATGCGCTCATTTTCCGAGAGACGGCTGCCGTCAAGTTGCCGTCGTATGCCAAACTTTTACTTTCCCGTAATAATGCGAATTAACAGGCGGTGCACGAAAGACGTCGTCGAAGATGCATAGAAAGATGTTCCAACCATTGGTATTAACTAGTTTTATAAGCAATTTGTGCAATGATCCCAAATCAAATGAAGCATATGAATCATATAAAAAAAATTTTTGTTCAAATTATGCCATGCG